GGATTGTTTAGCCTGGAGAAGAGAAAATTCCAGGAAGGCCTTATAGCAGCCTTCCAGTACCTGAAAGGTCCTATAGGAAAGCTGGGAGGGTTTTTTTTACAGGGACAGGGAGTGACAGAACAAGGGGTAACAGGTTTAAATTGAAAGTGGGGAGATTTAGATTAGGTATAAGATAAAAATTCTTTCCAGAGAGAGTGATTAGGCACTGGCACAGGTGGCCCAGAGAAGCTGTGGATGCCCCATCCCTGGATGTCTTCAAGGCCAGGCTGGATGAGGCTTTGAGCAACCTGGTCTAGTGGAAGGGGTCCCTGCCCATGGCAGGGGGGGTGGAACTAGATGGGCTTTAAGGTCCCTTCCAACCCAAAACATTCTACGGTTCTATAATTCTGTGATTTCCCCCAACACAGATGAAAAACAGTGTAGGTTCAGAGGTCTGGTCTCAAGCTCTTCATACCTTGTGGTGTTTGGAGTGTGAGCTCATGGTCTTGTGTCTTTTCATGGTACTTTTTTTCTTTTGCTGCTTAAACCCTGCCATCTGGGGGGAAGGGGGTGCAGCGTGGGGGCAGCTGGCAGGGGAAGGTGGTGGCAAGAGAAGAGGGGATGTGAAACATGTTTACACTTATAAGTCTATCTCTTCTAACCTGAATAAAGGGAAGCTGAGCTGTGATCATGTCCCCAAATGCTGTCCCAAGAGGTTTATCCTTCTATTTCAATGCTCTCAGCTGGAAAAGACAATAGTTCATTCTTTAGAAAAACTTGAGGTCCTTTTATACTTCTAATAGGTTTTTTTCCCAAACCTTCCCTTCCTTGAAGCAAGCCCCTTATCTCCTCCCCAGCATTCCCAAATTGATCACACGTAGCAGACTTCCTGGCGCTCGGTCACCAAATGCTGAATGAACTCGTACTGCACCTGAGCAGCAAACATCAAGCTCACCGGTACGCTTCCACAGCCTCCGCAAGGAAACCATTGGAGTTCATGGAGCTTGCCTCCAGGATGCAAATTATATATCCCAGAACGTGGTACGTTCATCCAGCAGGTACCTCCTGGAAGTTCTGTGCGTGCAGCTGGATAATGTTGCATCCCAGATGACATTTTCTCCCTCAAAAAAAAAGAAAGAGGGGCATAAAGAGCAAAATCAGTCACAACTTGTAGTGACTGTCTTTTAGAAGAGTGTTAGTTTTATTCCATCTCAATCCCAAATTTTATCATAATCTGTAATACGTGAGAAAAGCACAGATGTGGTTTTCTTGTACATGCTAATGCTTTCTGAGCTGTGTAAGTGGTATCGGTCTTGTTTTCTGTCTGAGGTTTCCCATTTGGTAGCAGGGCTGCAGTGGCCCAGGATTTCCTGCTTGCGCTGTCCCTTGCAGCGTGCCAGCAGAACTGTTCGGGCATTAGTGGGGGAAACTGGCCAAAACCCAGTTTGCATCCTCCTGCCAGCCTGGTCTGTGGTGCGGCTGCGCAGCAGGGCGTGCAGCACAGTGGTGGAAAGGGCGCCTTCCTAACGCAATTGGGGCTGCTGAAGCTGGCTTTAACAGGGCTTCCAGGTGTTTCACCTGGAAAATATGCCAGGGTACAGCTGGAGTAGTTCAGATTCTCCACGTCGGTTCACTGTTCACAGAATACGCAGACAGCAGTTGCACTGACCCAAACAAGGGATGGGTGAACTGCACCGTAGAGCAAGGACACTTCAAACCACTGATACCACGATGCCAAACCACACTGTCTAATACTGCTGACAACTCTCGTTCTTTCATGTTTGGCTTTTTTCCTCTGAAGATACCAAATACATTTGCATGCAAATATTTTTATATTAAGTATGTTATTGAATGTAAATATTTGCATGTTAAAATGTACTTTCATAATACATTCTTCCTACAAATCTTGCTTCTCTTTGTTCCTCAAACCTGAGAAAACATCCCACTTCAGTATCCGTTTGAGGAATGATGTTGCTGAGTGTGCTGCCGAGCCTGATTCTTTGTATGGAAGTTTAGGTGTCTGCTTTCTTGCTTTTGATCCAGTTCCGTTTGTGTTTCCAAATGCTTATCAGTTTGTTTTCATGAGGTTTTAAGCATAACTTCCTACCCAGACATGAAAGGGTTTTTTTTTTTCTTCCTAACGCAATGAACTTCAGTGAGACTCTTTGCATATGATTGCACACAAGAGGAGAAACGCTGAAACTCAGCTCATTGCCACGGACACAGCTTCAGTGCTGTGGAACCCAACGCACAACCTTTTCTGCGGTTCCCTCGGCGTCTCGGGGCGTCTCCTGAAAGCGCAGGCACCAGCCGGCGCTCTGCCGCGATCCCCTGGCAGCCTTGGAGCAGCCCCGTGTCTCGTCTTTAAGCCGGGGTTATGAGATGCTTCGGAAATGCTGTCATTGAGGAATGTCTTCGTTCGAGGTGGGAGATGAGCTCCGAGCGGATGTTAAACAGAGGCCCCGTCTTCTGGGTGTGTTTGGCTGAATGTGTCAGGAAGGAGAGCTGTATGAAAACCTTGGGGGGTGACGAGTGCCATGTAACGTGATACAGGAAAGTTTGTTGTAAAATGTATCGTGGACATTTGGAATGTCATAATTTTTAATTGTATGCTGCTGTTGTTTTATCTGAACTTGAACGGAGGTGGTTATGCACTGCCAGAGAGCTCATTAATGGTTTTTAAACACTTTCCTAGAATTTTTCCTTAGTTTTCTGATTATGATAACTATTCACTTGTTCCCCTTTCATTTTAGATGTTGTTCTGCAGAGGTGAAAAAGAATCATAGAATCACAGAATGGTTTGGGGTGGAAGGGACCTTAAAGACCATCCAGTTTCAACCCCCCTGCCATGAGCAGGGACACCTTCCACTAGACCAGGTTGCTCAAAGCCTCATCCAGCCTGGCCTTGAACATTTCCAGGGATGGGGCATCCACAGCTTCTCTGGGCAACCTGTTCCAGTGCTTCACCACCCCCTGCGGGAAGAACATTATGTGTGTCCAGACTTTGAGGTTATATTCAATGCCCTCCTTTGTAATCGTTAAGCACGCTCCTTTCTTTTTTATGTGTTTCAGGTGAAGCCTGCCATCCCAGTGTTGAAGCATGAGTACTGATGCCAGTCAGGCTGTGATCACTACTCCTCCCCCGGCCACGATGCCTCACAAAGAGCGGTACTTCGATCGCATCAATGAGAATGACCCAGAGTATATTCGGGAGAGAAACATGTCTCCTGACCTGAGGCAGGACTTCAATATGATGGAGCAAAGGAAGAGGGTCACTCAGATACTGCAGAGCCCTGTGAGTGGGACTAAGGGAGGGTGAGAACCAAAGAGGGTTATTTTCTGAGATTCCTGATTAACTTTCTGAGACCTGAAAAGGGAAATCTATGTCACAGCTAGCTAGGATAACTCTGGGCCATCTTCTAAGAAGAGTCACTAAACAGATTATCCAGCATTTTGTTTGCATAGGGGTTTTTTTGTCTGAGAACAAGCAACCTTTACTGTGTTGGGTTTGTTCCTGATGCTTTTATATTCTTATGCTTCATTTCAGCATTACAAAAGGTCTGGCTGGCTGCAGGGTACTTAATTAAAACTTAGGGGCAGGGAAGAGAGTGAAGGAGTCACCGGTCAAATAGGAACACATGAGGGCATTACATGGTGTTCTGCTATCTGGGTTTGCATGTTAACCTATCGTTTGCATCGGGAATGCTTTAATTAACATTTTTCATTGGGTTAAGTTTGTTTAAAACCTAGACTATGTGTGCTTTTCATCTCCTTGGGGGTGATCATACCCATACTTGGCCATATTAGCACGCTTCTACAGGTTGTGCAAGTTCAGTACTTGTGTAGGCTACAGAGAAAGCTATTATCTATTGAACCACTCTCATATCGGTTTTAATCTGTATTTTAATACTTGTATTCTTTAGGTTTAACCTGATGAATACATTGGAAAGTAATACTGTTGCCTTGAGTATTTTGAAGCCATAGGGAGTCAGTAAGGACTGTGCGAGGATGAGCCTTTGGGGGTGTTGGGTTTAATGGCAGTAACAAAGATAACAGGACTGGGAAGGGGTTAAGCAGCTTTACAGATCCTTCCTCTTCAGTTCTTCTGTAAGTTGGGGGGCTTCTTCTGTAATTTTTTGAAGCTTTTCCATATGTAACACGATTGCAAACAGCTGTTAGTAATCACCCTGTTATAGTCATCCATGAATAACAGGATTGTTTGCTAAAGTGTTGTCGTGGAGTGCCTCTTGGATCTGTGTGTTGCTCTGAGTATAATGTGAACCTGTTGACTAAGGAATTTATTACTCTCGAGTCAATTTGTGCAAGCTTGGTTTTGCAGCCAAGCTCTTTTATAAAGAAAATACTCTAAGGAGGTATTGCATAATGTTTTAATCATTCTAATTTTATGTTAAACACTTGATTGTAAAATTTGATCGGAGTCTGCTCATTTCTGTTAAAATATTCACATCATGAATAGCCAGGACTCACAGAAAAGACTAGATCTTTAGCCTAACAGATAAAATAAGTTACAGAGACCTTGTTTGGGTTTGTATATATTATTTTTTAGTCCTTTTGATGGCAATATTGAAACTGATGAGCATAACTGTTTCCTTAACGTTTTGGGGGACCTTTTGCCAAATGGAGTAAATGTCCCTTTGCCACAGCCCCTGTGGTTTTTTTAATAGATGCAGTGTCAGTGTGCAGATTTTGGGAAGGGGGATGAAGAGGGGCAACCCCTGAGTCTAAATAACTGTGTTAACCGAAGGTTGGAGGACAGAGATCCACGGGGCTGCTGTTAGTGTCCTGCCGCAAGAGAGGCTGAGCCCAGCCTTTTTTGGCTGCCAGTATATTGCAAGGGGTTTTTTGTGTAAGGGAATGGTTGTCCAAAATAGCCAGGGACCTGCTGCCTGCAGGGAGAAACGGGAACGTGGGAGCCGAGTGTCTGATCAGGCACAAAGAGGTGCCTGAGCTACCACTTCCGCTCATTTAAATATCTCCTTTTATTGCCTCTCTTCTTGAAATAGAAAATTTAGAGGAACCCTGCTGTGATTTCTCATGTGAGGAAATAAAACATTTTTAATACAATATCTGACTGTATGTCCATCAAGCAAATTTCATAACTGATTTGGGGAGAGAAACTGCATTATTTCTTCCAGGCTCCAGCTGTGATGTGCCATAGTGTTCTTCAGAGTCAGGACTGAAAACTATTACCTAGTCTCTTGAATACAGTATTTGTCACAAAAGGGCCAGAAAGCATTTTACTTGTTACCATTCTGCAAAACACAGTTTCAGAATTGAATTAACGAGTACTGTGCATGATGTTTTTGTTCTATAGCTGCAGAATTACATTGCATTAGAAGTTTGCATAGAGCTTTGTTGAGTCTCTGGTTTATTCTAGTCGACAAGGAGGAAATAGTTAGAGGGTGTTTGGAAGAAGAGGAAGAGAGGTTATCAGACACATTTTAAAGAAGAGCTTCCTTGCTGGTATATCTTCACCCTATCTTAGAGATGGGCCTTCATATCTTTGCCCAGTCTTGATATATGCATTCAGATCCCAGAAATAGTCATTGACTCATCTTCTGGCAAGTATTACTAAATTTGAAGTGTATGCAGCAAGGATAATGCCTTTCTTAAAAATACATGGGTATGGACCTGTGGTGAGCTTGTTTCAACATGCACTTTCTGTGAGCAAGGAATTACTGTGCAAAAACAAAGGGTTAATCACTGTCATATGCTAGGAAGCTTGGGTACTGATTTAATCTGTTTTATTAAAAAGCTTTTTTCTTTCTTTCAAGTAGGAAGATCTAAATCCTTTAGCAAGAAAATAAATTAGAGAATGTATTTCAGGAACCCGCGATATATTTTGTGCAGTGCATGTTATTGTAAGGGCTACAGCCCTGACCAGACATCTTCAGACATCAAACTGCTGCATCTCTCTGATGTGCTGTCTGATGCACGTATTGATGTGCAATTTGACTACTCGTCTCTGATGTGCAATTTCCCTTTCCTAAATTGTATAATTTAAAAGCTGCTGAAAAGCTCTTCCCATTACCTCTGATGTTTGCTAATGTCTTCGAGTCTGTTCATAATAAGTCTTAAAGCAATTATAGGAGTTTTATGACAGCTGCCCACGGAGAATGTCCTGACACTGTGAGTGAATTCTCAGGCATGTTGGCTTAATACTGCATGTAACCTGTGAGCATCTGACAGCCTGGAGAATCTGATAGGAGCTGCATCTTTGTTGTACTCTGCCTGTTAGAAAGGTGGAAAGAAATAAAGATCAGCTGGGTCTAAACAGTCTGATAACACCCCGAGGTACTGCTGGCCAATCTTTCAGCTAAGTTGTTTATTTCAGTAGTGCCTGCAGGTTCAGAAGGTTTGGGTACTGTGTCATTATTTTTCAAGGAAAGGTATTACATGTATGCAGTGGACTGATTTTATTGCTTGACATTGGGTCTGAGATACTTGACCTCTAATATATCCAGAATTAGAAAAGGTGGGCATATTGTTTAGATTTTGCCCACTTAAAACTGTTTTCAGTTATGGAATTGTCTTTTTTTTATGCTAAACAATCACATATTGCTTGTTATACAGAGTAACTAGCTCTTTCAGAGGGTAAACACTTAGCTGCTGTATTGTCAAATCCTTATTTCAGTTATGGTATGGAGACCTGCTGGTCTTCATTGCCTTCTGACATTCCTGTTACCCTCACCATGGCAACCAGAAGCTTCAAAAACACTTAAAAAAAAAAAAAAACCACACCATAAAACAAACAGCTGTGGCTGCAGAGTTACTGTGTGTGACAACTGAACAGCCAGTTCAGCATCCAGGAGCTGCATGAACGTGCTGCAGGGAGAGACTCCCTGCAATCCTCCTGGAGCGGCCAGGGAAGGTGTTGGGTGTTCCTGCAGGCAGGCAGCAGTGCTGTGCTGCTTCCAGTGAAGACAATTATCTAACCAGCAGGAAAGCTAATGATGGGCTTTAGCTAACAGGACTGTGTGTGTAACCTGCCAGGAAACTGGGATCACTGCTTAGGCTGCCTTGAGGGGTACCTTACCTCCCATTTATAGCACTGTATTCGAAGGAAAGCTACAGGTCAGAGTGGGAATGGGAGAGGATGCATTCACTAATATTTCATTATTTTTACTGATGTAAGAAGAAGTTGGAGTAGTCAAATTCATGCATAAAATGATGAGTTGAAGGGATGAAATATGCAAATATATGAATGCCTGCGTATTGGAGTTTAAATGCCTGATTTATGTTTTGAATTTACCGTTGAAAGTTTCGTGTGGCTTGCTGAAACCCACTGAGCGTGTTCTTGCCATTTTTACATAGGAAACACAGTTATTTGGAGCTTGTTTGGTTTTAAGTTGAGCACTTTCCCGGCAGGATCTCATCAGGCTTTGCTTTAATTTCACGTTGGATGTGGGGCGCGCACACTGACCTGTGCGGCTCTGCAGGGCGTTCGGGGCGATTCTGCCTTGGTGCTGCCAGGGCGTGAGGGCACTGGTTCAGTTCTAGCCATCCAGACTGCAAAATCAGGGGCGTTTTACGCTGAGGTTAAAAACGTACTTCTCTCCCGTGCCTCTCTTCCTTTCTGCCTTGTACATGCACACACGCCCCGGCCCCCCACGCCAGCTGGTCTTGCCCAAAAAAGTGGGGGTATAACAGTCCTGCTTAGCAACTCCTCTATTCAGAGATCTGTCTTAGCATGCAGCCAGATTTTTCTCCTCAAAAACAAGCAAACCCACCCACACTTGAATTTGGTTTTCTCTGTCTACGTTATTTTCAAACCATCAGCACAGAGATGAAGGATGGTTTGATTTATTTTTTTTCACCCATGTTTGCAGTTGTCTAGCTTACTCTGTTTTGTATCGCCTGAGTGTGCAGTATTTTCACACCACTCCCTTTTGGGGCAGTTTATTTTCTTAAAATATCAAAGTTCTTTCAGTTCCTCACATTTCATCTTCCACCTCTCTTTCCCCACAAGTTCAAAAGCCTTTCGGATCCTTCAGGAGCGTCACCCTTTGGCCAGGAAGGGCCTTATACATCCCCTGGGGACCTCCTCAGCGGGCAGGCTTCTCGCATTGCAGCTCCTTCCTCTGGCTGCAGATGTCTCCTCTGACATCTGGTGACTCACTGCTGGGGTGTCAGGACCCTCCTCTCATCGCAGCGGCTTGTGTAACCGCATGCTTTCATCATACGGCCTGTACAGCCCTTCATTCACCAGGGGAGATGAGCTCAACTTGGCACGGCAGTTAAGACATCAGAAAATGCCCCTTGAAGATCCCTTCT